GGGGGGGGGGGGGGGGGGGGGGGGCGTACTCTTTATGCTTTGCATGCCTTAGCGGTCAGACCATTGACCACGCGTCCTCGAGAGGACGGAGCATTGTTCCCACAGGACCGATCACCGATGGTCAATCGTTCCTTCCTACTTTGCCAAAGGTGGCTCAAAAATGCCTTTCCTAGTCTGTCTATCCTACCGATGTCACTTCCCGCTTTTTTCAAACCACTTTCTACTCCCCAGTACCGCTACCGTCCTCTCCTCTCTATTCCATGCCTCAAACATCTCCCTGTACGTCCCTTGTATTCTTCCCAGCTCAGTCATGTACACTTCCCTCTCCTTTTCGTACCACGGACATTCCGCAACTACATGAACACTGTCTTCGCATTCGAAGCCGCAATCGCATTTGAACTTGTCGTCTTCGTCGTCTACCGTCCTATGTCTTCGTCGACGTTCGCGAAGGCCTATGTCCCCGGTCCTGAATTTGACCTTAAGCTTTGTCCCTGCATCCATTGGTCCATGTAGGTAATCCTTGAACCCTATTCCTTCTTTCAACATTCCGTACACTTCTAGACCCTCCTTATCCTTGGTTTCTTTCCTTAGATTCTGTTCTTCTCTCTCGGCACAAGCAACAGATATCTTCTTCTTGAACCCCTGTAGACCCTCCGTTTCCAGCGTTTCATCTTCGTCGATGTCCAATCCCTTCCATACGTCCTCTACAAACCTTGACCCATTCCGTGGGTTGTCTACCCCTCTTTTTGTTTGCCCACTTCGCCTCCCATACTATTCTCGGCAACCTCTCCTCTCCCATCCCGCACATGCGGTACTGCCATGTCAGCTTCCTTACGTCTCTTCCCGACCGTAGGGATTGGATCCCCAATTCTGCCCTGACTGCTGCATTACTTGTGCGCTTGGAGCATCCTAGGATGATTTTCGCTGCTTTCATCTGCGCCGCCTCGAGTTCTTTCACTACCTTCTTATTTCCTTCCCATACTTCTCCGGCGTACTCCAGCGGCGGTACGATTACGCTCTTCAAAACCGTCAGTTTGATGCGTGTATCAAGGTGCCGGTTTGCGAGTATTGGGTGCAGCTTCCCTGCTCGTGCTTTGCCCTTTTCCGCTACCTTGGACATGTGTGCATTCCACGAGCAATCTTTTGCGATCTCTACTACCGAGGTATGTGTACTGGTCCACTACTGCAATCTCCTCGATCCCCCCACTTCCATCTATGTTCTACTGGTGCCTTCCTGCCCTCGTTGCATACCATGACGGCACTCTTCGTAACGTTGGCAGACAATCTCCACTTATCAGTAAACTTCTTCGCCGCGTCAATTTGCAGTTGCAGTCCCTCAGGGGTGTCCGACATACCAACAAAGTCATCCGCAAACAGCATTCCTGACACCGAAGTTTCCGTGTCCCCTACTTTTACTCCCTTCCGGACTGCCTCTACGACTTCCAACAGATCGTTGATGAACACCTGGAACAATGTTGGGGACAGCGTGCAACCTTGTGGGACCCCTTGCTCAATGTCGAAGAATTTAGACAGTTCTCCGTCTAGCATGACCGCGCTTTTCGTACACTCTGTCATCTTCTTCAGCACCCTCCACATTTTCCCCTTGATCCCGTACTTGGACAATTGTTTCCACAGCCCATTTCTCCATACGGTATCGTATGCCTTTTTCACGTCCAGGAAGAAGCAGTACGTCCGCTTGCCCGCCCTCTTTCTACCTTGGATGATTCTCCCTACCGTGAATGCGTGGTCTACGCACCCCCTCTTCTGTCGGAAACCTGCCTGGCCCTCACTAATGCTACGTTTCTTCTCCAATACTCCCACTATCCTATCGTTCAGCAGCTTACAGAACACTTTTCCTACTGTGTTCAACAGTGTGATACCCCTGTAGTTTCCTGGGTCAGTCTTGTCTCCTTTCTTAAACAAGTTCACAACCACTCCTTCCCTCCATCTACTTGGCGCATACTCGTTTTTCCACACCCAGTTGTATAGCAGTATCATCAGCTGGATCATCCCCTTGCCCCCAAACTTCATGAACTCGTTTACTATCCCATCCGCCCCTGCTGCTTTGTGGCACTGCAGCTTGTTCACACACGCCTCAACCTCGTCCTCAGTGAACTCCTTTTCTAGTTCTACGTTCCCAACGTCTGCCTTCGATGTCTCTTCTTCTTTCTGGGCCCATGCGTCCACCTCCTTCTTAAACACTTGGTCAAAATCTTCATTCTCCGAAGGCACTCCAAGTCTCTTGTAGTGTCCTGCTAGAACTTCCCTTTTTCCCTTCCCACTGCTGACTAGTCCACCGTTCACACCTCGCAATGTTGCTACCCCTGTATCCCCCCCTTGCGCGGTCTTTTTTACCATCCCACTAATCCCTTCCCACATCTGCTTGACGTTCCCCTCCAGGCCTCCGTTGGCCTTCTGCACTACTTCGTCCCAAATGCTCTTTTTCTTCTTTTTCACTAGTCCCTTCACCTGTTTCCTCTTGGCCCTGTACTTTTCCCAACTCTCTTCAGACCCCTCACCCAGGTACTGCTTGAAGACTTCTCTACGTTCCCCTATTTCTTCTTTCAGCTCGTCATCCCACCACTTAACCGATACCCCACATCGTACCACCTTCTTTCCCACTACTCTCTCTGCCGCTGTGTTCACTATGGACTCCCATCCTTCAATCACCCTGTCCCCTGCTGCTTGTACGTCTACCTTTCCGTCTTCGACGCTTCTCAGCAGGTTTCTGAAGGGTTCTACACTACCAGCCAATCCCTTCTGGAATTCATCGCGTGTCCCCTCGTCTCCCAAACGCTCTACTTTCCACCGGAACACTTTCCTCTTTTTCTTACTCTCCGTCTTTCTAGATCGGTCGATGTTTGCCCATATGAGGAAATGGTCGGTCGAACCTATATCTATCGCACTTACGTGCAGCTCCGGGACCTGTGTGCTCCCCCTATCTACCAGGATGTAGTCGAGGATCGAGTATTCATTGCAAACTGCCCTCTGCCTGGTGAACTCTGGCTTATCGCTTTCCCTCCTACCGTTCAACACCATCAGCTCGTTGCTTCCCAAGAATTCAAGCATCCTCACTCCGTTGTCATTCACTTTGTCTTCTTAGTGCTGCCCGATATCGGGGGATCGGGGGAGGGGGGGGGGGCATATTTCTTCCCCGCTCATGGTTGGTCGAGTTCCCGCTGTTTTGTTTTTGCAATAGGCGGTGTCAAGACACGGGGCAAGGATAATTTCGTCGGCGTTGGTTTGGTGTGGTTTGCTTCGACGTCTCGCCTAAAGCAAACTTTTTTCCACGGTCGTTTTTTCGTGTGTCGAAGTCACCCGTCGTGTCGTTGTGGGCGTGTGGTAGGCAAAGGGGGCGTGAGAAGGAGCTAGCGGTGTTGCGGGGTGAGCCGGGCGTTGCCTTGTTTGTTTGCTCCGCTTCTTTCTCTCGAACGGAGGCGTCTCAGCAGTGGCGGGGAGGGTGGTACCGACCGAGGCAACAACTGCTAATTGTGGTTTGCTGTCACCCCAGCTCTAGTTTTTCGTATGCGCACGGCGTTGCACTCAAAGCAGAAGCTTTCGCCTGGGGGCAGAACCTGCGAGGTTTACCTCTGGATCGTTAACTTCTCGTCCCCGTGTGGTGAATCGGGCAGGTACTACGGCGGAGCGCGATTCGAACCTCTGTCAAGAAAACGACGTTCATCGGGGGGAGCCGTAGCAGCGGCATCGAGAGGTGATGGTGGAAGCAGTGAGGGAGGCGTCTCGGAAGCAGGGGACATGGGCGAACCGTCCCCTTGTTGGCGCGCGTACGGCGGGCACTGGCTCGTGCTTCCGCAGGTGGAACTGTCTAGCGGTGAGACCAATCGACCGCGTTTCACCTTGACGTTGATATTATAGTGTCTTCTTGTGTTGTATCGAGAGCTCTTGTTCGCTGCTCGTACACGGTCAGATCCGAGAATGGGAGCGAGAGGTGTTGGTTGCGAGTTAAAAGCTAATCTTGTTAATTGAGCGGATTCTGTATTTTCTTCTGCTTCTTCTCCTACCACCACTGTTTTCGTGGAAAATAGCAGCGTTTCCCTCCCACCGATGACCGTGTTTTTGTTCGCGGCTGGTGGCCCCGTGTGTCGAAAAGTTCCGAGTGGCGACCCCCCCCCCCCCGCCATCACCTCGAACAGGTATCGGGGCACCTGCAGTCAGTCGAGGCCGTCGTCGCTCGCCCCTGAGCAATCAGGGGTACACTCATGATGAAGAGTGGCCCCCCTCTCTCCCCTAACCTGGTAAATAGTCTCTTGTACGCATATCAACCCCCGGTCTGCTTGCTGCCTCCATTCTCTCGTCGCTCTCTCTCTTTTTCTTTTTTTTCCGCTGGACTTTTTGACCTCTACTTTGTACCAGTTGCGGCTGCTGCTCAGGCTGGTGGCGGGCGGCCAGCAGCGGTTCTGGCGGTCAACCTTCGCTGGACTGGCGCTGATGGGAGCACCGCCCCAGCCGTGGCTTCCACTGGCAACACCTCTGCTGTCCGCAGCGGTAAAGACGGCGTGGAAGGGGAGAGGAAGGCTGATATCGGGGGGGAAGAGAGCACCGCCGCCGGGAGCGGTGCTTCGGACGTGGGTGCGCCTGCACCGGCCCCACCGGAAGCGTCATCCACCGCAACGGCGGCATCCAAGGGCCCGGTTACGGCGGCGATCGGCGCGGTAGGGGGATACGGTTGCGAGCGAGACCGGCAACGCTCCGGCTCGGGAGCGGTAGCAGCAGCAGGAAAAGGGGGCCGACAACCAGGGGGGCAGGATGGGCGGGGGGGTGGCGGGGGACTAGCCGCCGCGCGGGCGAGGGCGGCGAGGACTCTGTCCAGGATAGCGTGTCGTTTCGCTAGGCCCGGGACGGAGGCGGAGCTCCCGCTCCCGCTCACTGCGGGGGAAGATGGCGACCCGGTAGGTTTGTGTTGCGCGCATGTTTTTGTGGCGCGTCGTCTCGCGTGCTGTTGCCTTAAGGATTCGAACCGTTGGTGCGGCGTTTTTTTAGCTCGGTTGCTCCACAACCAGGAGGGCGCGAAAACCAACGTCTCGGGAAAGCTCTCGGCGCCATCTTACCATTTCGGCGGTTGGTGGTAAGGGTGCTGACCTCGCTGTGCAAGGATTGTTCATGGGCAGGAAATTCTGGAGGTGGAACGAGGCCATACTGCGCTGGCAATATTGAGAGCTGCGTTTTCTGTCTGTCTGTCTGGCTGGCTGGCTGTGTGTCGTGTGAAAGTGAAGCGCGACCACGCCCTGGTTGGTCGGGGTGTTTTGAATGACAAAACTAGTCAATAGCCCGGCGCTTAGAGCAATTCCCACAGCAGGGATGGTCGGGGGGTCTACTCATTATCGTGCTGCCGTAGACGTTAGACCATTGACCTTGCAGGCAGGTTGGGGGGGATCTTTCTGGTACTAACTGCTGGAATTTGCCTGTCATGTCACACTGGGGAGGCGTGTTTATTTTTTTCGGTGTGTTTGTGTTTGTCGGGTTTTTTTTCGCTATTTCAGGTGACGAACACGGAGGGTCCGGAGTACCGAAGGTGGGAGAGGGGTATCGAGCGCGCCCTGGACGATATGGACAAAGAAAGGTATGAACGCTTGGGGGATGTTGAACCGTACATCGCCCCTCCTGCAGGGAGAGGCCGTTACATTTAGTGCTCATTTCCTGATAACAATATCCCAGGCAGTTGTAGCTTCCGCGATCAGCCTGTCAGTCTTCCCCCCTACATGTAGGAGCAGTGTTCAGATCCTTGCACAGGTTGAATCCCATAAGGCAACAAATAGACTGACAGGTTGATGGCGGATCCATGCACCACTAACTCCATGAGACAAGACAGGTTGAAAGAGGAGTGAGGTACGATCAAATTTAACGTTCGCCGTATGCATAGGAGGAAATAATGTCAAGAGTTTGGACAAAACATGAGAATGAAGACGGAGCCATGGATTTCCCGTGGGTGACGACGCGCTTCACGATTGAGTTACAAAAATCTAGACACCCTTAAAACATCAACGCCATCAACTAAAAAACAGCTGCAACAACTATCTACCATAGCCTCAACACGAACAACGCATGCGCAGTGGCCACATCAACACGAAAGCACTGCCGCTGCGAACGAACACACTAGGTACTGCAAGGTGGTCCTGGCCCGCACGGCCCGGTTGCGGTTCGCGGGGCCCCTTTCCCCGCCGAACGTGCTGGCGCGCTTCAGGGGGCACTACGGCTTCCTCTTCTGCCTGCAGGTGATTCGTCGACTGGCTGACTCGACGAGTCGGCCCTAGTGCTGCTGTAGGTCAGCTGTTGAATATTTTAAAATTTTTATGGATTTTACAACCTTTTCCCGGTTAATCGTGTAAATATCAATAGACCGAAGCGAGTGACTGATCCCACTGGTTCCGCACAAAGCCTGCGCGCCAACAACGGTAGCACGGCGAGCTCGATCTGTAGGCAGGGAAATTCACGATAAGATCACGTCAGCAGATTCTATCCGTATGACCCCAACGCAGCCAAGCACGTAGCATAGCCGCCGAGTTTACCTCCCACCCACGGATTCTCTACGCCTCCCCCCGTTGTCCTACTGGCAGCCTGATGCGAGCACGGCGTTCTTGGGGTGCACGCCGGAGCGTCTTTTCCTGTCGAAGGGATCGACGGTGGTGACGGAGGCGTTGGCGGGTACTAGGGGGAGGGGGGACACGACAACCGAGGACGAGCGGTTGGGCGAGGAGCTCATGGACAGCGAGAAGTTTCGGGGGGGGGGGGGGGGGCTACGTGTGGTGTTGGCGTTGGTTGTGAGCGGTTGGGCGAGAGAGAGGGAGGGGTCGAATGCAGGGAGTGGTATGAGTGGCGGTGGCGGTGTTTGTGATCAATTGAGCGAGAGAGAGAGACAGACAGGTACAGACAGACAGACAGACGGACAGAGACAGAGGTCCAGTGCAGAGAGTGGCATGAGTGGCGGTGGCGTTGTATGTGAGTGGTTGGGAGCGCGCGAGAGAGAGAGAGGACAGACAGACAGACAGACAGAGAGGGAGAGAGAGGCAAAGCTCCAGAGCAGAGAAAGCGCGGCGCTATACTTTGTTGCACAAAGATGAGTATTCGGAATCGGTCGCTTCAAATAAGCAAGTGGGACGATGGATAGAGCAGGGGGGGGCGTCGCTGTCTCGACTACTGCTGTTGTTTCTGTTGGAGTTATTCTCCTGGGTGCATATTGTTCTGGGCTGCTGTGGACGCTCTTGTTGTGTACATCGGGTCTGAGAATCCTTCGTGCATGCATGCCATTGTGATACGTTCCCCTCTTGACCAATGACAACGGTCTTTCATGTTCCTGCTTGCAATGCCTCGGCCTGCCTTGCTGTTTGCCAGGACGTACGCGAGAACGCCATCACGGCAGACTACGTGTCCGCGGCGCTGCGGAAGGCGGGGGCGGTAAAGCTTAACTGTTCAGAGCCGTCGTTAAAGCGCCTGACTCACGTCCAGCACATCTGCAGGTAGGCAAACAGCGAAAGAACCATGACCGCGGTGTTTGTTGTCGCCATCGTGTGCAGCCGCACGGGGATCGGAGTCGTACGCATAGGTACAAAATACTTTGTTTGACAGCCATCCCGTTCTGTGTCTGCCTCAAAGGGATGCGAGGGATCTATCAGCGTGGTTTTGCGTACCCCCCCCTCCCCCCTTTATCACGACATTGTTTGCGCTGCCACTGCCGCTGTCATGTTGACAACCCCTTTGAAACAAATCCCTATTTAGGCGCATCACGGCAACGCTGGCCCCCGGCACCGACAACGACTGCAGCGAAGGGGGATTCTGCAGAGACGACGCGGAAGGGGGGGGGCAGGGGAGAGGGGCAGGGGGCGCCGGGCGGTCGCTCCTCCGGGAGATGCACCCTACGCCGGCGGTGTGCGGGACGCCTCGCGACGTGACATACTCCGTGATCGGGGAAGTTGAAGGCTTCGACAGGTTCGCTCGCTGTTTCTGTCTGGTGCTGAACTGTAGCTCCTGCGGGATCTCTGTTTCAGACTGACTGCCCCCTTAGGGTCGATATGGCACCGAGCATTGCCCTGCTGCTGTGTGGCACCAGGTAGCTGTGTTGGTGGGTGAGAATGCTTGTGCCCAGAGAAGAGATTGGACAAGAAAAAGAAACGCTCCATAATCTTTGGCGAGTTAGCTCAACTCTTGGTGCTGTGTTCGGTTGCTTTTCTTTGTGGTGCGTCCTCCTACCAATCCACACGACCTACGCCTCTTCTGTACTTTTTTCTCGAAGGGGTTCCTAGGCCGGTCCGGTGGGATACATTCTCCCTCCTACAAAAAAAGAAAAAAATTCCCTCCTACAATCACACACACACCCACACACATTTTTTTTTCTCACAGGGGTTTCTACGCCGGTCCGGTGGGATACATCTCCGCCGGGGCTAGCGAATTTGGGGTGGCCATCCGCAGCGCTCTGGTCACAGATTCATGGAGCTCTCCTGAGGGGTTTTCACGGCGAGGGGGGGTTCTTGGCTCCGCTGGGGGGCCCGCGGCAAGGGGCGTGGGGGGGGGGTCTGAAATGACCCTGTTTGCTGGCGCTGGGATCGTGCCCGGGTCGGTTGCTCTTTTGGAGTGGGCAGAAACTGGGGTTAAGGTGCGTCCCAAGAGGGGGGGGGGGGGGGGGGGGGGGGGGGAGTGGGAGGGGGGGGATGGATAAATACCGTGCCTAGCTGTGTTTGGTGATAATTCCGATACTCTGCTCGGCGCTTGGGGGTTTGGATGCGCTCGTGCTTGCGCGTGTGCCTGCGCTTGTGACTGCGATTGTCCTTTTTATCGCCCCCTCATCCACCTTGGCCAGCCGACCCCTCTCCGACACACCACACCCGCACGCCCGCACGCGCGTGCACTTACCGAGCATCTCTCCTTGAAACCGCAAACAACGACCGTGACATGTATGCCTATGGCAGACGAACGCATATATCCCTGGTTTCATCTCGTATCACCGCAAACATCGACCGTGACTATTTTCTGTGGCAGATGAAGAATTTTCTTTCGCTGTTCCCCGCGCGGCCGGTGAGGGGGCTCCGTGAAATGCCCAACGTTAACTCCCTCTGGGGCGCGCTCGTGGTGGAGGAGCTGGTGCGGCTGGGGGTCCGACACTTCTGCGTTTGTCCTGGGTCTCGCTCTGCTCCCCTGGCCGTGGCGATTGCCAGGTAAAACGGCGACAGTAGCGTGGGAGTAGAAGAGGATTTACGGTAGTGTGGGAGCGGAGAAGACATTACTGCTCGCTGTTTTCGTGAGAGAGACAAGACACTTTAATCAGCCCGTCCGGTTGTGATGGTTGTGATGGTGGGAATCCGGTTGTTTTGGTGGGAATCCGGTTGTTTTGGTGGGAATCCGGTTGTGATGGTGGGAATCCGGTTGTGATGGTTGTGATGGTGGGAATCCGGGCGCTCTCTTTCTCTCTCTCTCTTTCTCTCTCTCTCTCTCTCTCTCTCTCTCTCTCTCTCTCTCTCTCTCTCTCTCTCTCTCTCTCTCTCTCTCTCTCTCTCTCTCTCTCTCTCTCTCTCTCTCTCTCTCTCTCTCTCTCTCTCTCTCTCTCTCGTTTATTGATGCCCCCAAGAATTGGGTCGTCGTTTGCGATTGTTTCCTGTCTCGAAAACAACACCCAATAAAATGCTTCCCTGACCGTAACCGTAAGCCGCTATCTCCCCCCCCCCCTCCCGCGTGCACATGCTTCGTCCTCTCGCGTTCATGGTCTAACAACTAAGGCGCGCAGAACATGGGTACCCTTCGCGCGCACGCCTTTGTCCGGCCGTTTTTCTCTCCCAGGCATCCATCAGCGGTTTCGATATCTCACCACGACGAACGCGGAGCGGGTTTCTACGCCGTAGGCTTTGCTCGCGCGGGGCCGGGAAGGGGGGGCGGGGCGCACTCGTCCTCCACGTCTGACAAGGCCGGCGGCGGTGGCGGCGGCGGTGTGGGTAGTGGGGCGCTGGGGATGTGCGCCGTTGTGACCAGCTCCGGCACGGCGGTGGCGAACCTGTTGCCGGCCGCGGCGGAGGCGGACGCGGCGGGATTGTCGATGTTGCTGCTCACGGCGGACAGGCCGCCGGAGCTGCGGGGGTGCGGCAGCAACCAGACCATTGATCAGGCGAGATGCTGCATGGTGTGTGTGTGAGTGTCTTGTGTGTTTGTTTTGGTCATGGCGTCCACCGGCTGACCATATGAATTGTGTGCGTGGTGGTTGTTTTTTTATAATCGACTGCGCCAACCGGCTGACCTCCAGAAAAAATACATCGGCGGGATATAAATAAGTGTGTGTGTGTGTCCGCTTACGAGCATCGGCAGAGTAAAACCTGCTGACCAATGAAAGTACGTCACTCTGACTTAACGGATGAAAATTAGTGGTGCATGCGTGTACTAACGGGCGCCGGCCGAGAAAAAACGGCTGAACAATGCAAAGACGTTCTCTTCAGTGGCGCAGGAAACGCTGTCTACTCTGCGGTGCCCCTCGCGAGGGGCTATCGATTTGTGATATTATCCCAGGCTATATGCATATGTAGTTCAAAGCCTTTTCCCCACGCCTATGTACTTCAAAGCCCTTTCCCTAAGTGCGACGTGTCGCTACACCTATCGTCGTGCGTTCGTTAACCCAGGCTATATATACAACCTTCGAAGAGCCTTTTTTTTGTTACCCCGCCGGCGCTCATCCTTGCCTCCGCCGAATGTTCTTCTTCTTCTTGTTCTTCTTCGCTCGCCATGTGGTCTGGTCTCAACCCCGAACCCGCCATCGTCGTCGCCGTCGTCGTCTAGGTTAACCTTCTTGGCTCGCGCGCGAGACTGTCTCTGGACGTGCAGTGCCCCACGGACGAAGTGAGCGCGGCCTGTCTGCTCTCCGACATCGACCACGCCGTGTCGAGAGCGCTGGGAGGGGGGGGGGGAGGGGGGGTCCCCGGGCCGGTGCACCTGAACTTCATGTTCCGGGAGAACTTGGCTCCTGTGGAAGGGGCAGTCAGGTATACAGTACCGCATGCCTGCCTGCGCTCTGTGTTTTTGTCCGCTGCTGGTAGTCTTGGGCCTGTTCGAGTCTGCGACGTGCAGAAAGCGTGTGCCTCAAAATAGAAGCATATGCTTCAGGATTAGGGTCAGTTTTCGGCGCGACGCAGCCGTTGCACGGGCATTATTTGTTCTTGGCCTGATTTTGGCGGTACGGAGGAAGCGTGCCGAGGATTATTTTTTTCTTCCGAAGTGACATCAAGAGACCGGCCAGCGCTGACTGCTTTCGGCTGCTCTGTAATAGAGCGGTTGTTTATTTAAGACCTTCGTTGTTCTAACCACGCACCACGCCTGCTCCACCACGCATATTCGCCCAGGGACGCGGGTGTGCCAGGGCTGTCGTCTGCTTGGTCGGACCGATGCCTGGACTCGCCGAGAATGGCACGCTGGGAAGCCGGCATCGAACCGTTCACCACAACCGCCGGTGGAGGAGGCGGTTTGGGAAGAAGAGGGGAGGGGCTGCAGCAGGTGTGTATGCCAAGAAGACGGGGGGGTGGGGGGGGGGATGACATGGATATGGCTGAGGGGGGGAGGGGGGGTTACTGGTTGCTTATTGCCCTAGTGACCGATTTGCTAGGCGTCACCCCCTCTCGAGACGGAGCGGCGTCTCTCACGCAAGGAACGACGTCGACATTGATGGCAATTTTAGGGCCCTTCTGTGGTGTTGCCTTTACGCTTTCCATACAATGCAGTAACAGCGCCGAAACTAGAAAATTTCGCTAGAATCATGGGCTTGCTTGCGCACACACGCGTGTGTGAGCGTGCTCAGAACACCTGGCTTACCAAGCTTGAGCAAGACGTACCGTTCTGCTTTACTAGCCACTGCTATTAGTATGCCATAGTACGACAATCGGCCTAAAAATTCTCACCTACGCACAGCAGGGACGAGAACTTCATACGCGTGTGTATACGCTCTCCCGTGTTCGGTACTTCTTGCTTGGTTCCGCCTTCTCTCGCTGCGCCACAGGCAGGCAGCCTACTGCCGTGCTTGCCACCGCGCAAAGCAGAACCGTGGGACTTTGATCGTGGTCAATTAGACCGCCAGCGTTCACCTATCCGCCCCTATCGCTGTCTTAATAAGCCTTCTCCCGCTTCCTTGGCTTGGCGTGCTGTTTTTTTCTTTGTTGTGCCAGGTTGTGGACCGCCTGCTGTGTGCAAGGCGGGGTATTTTGATCGTGGGTAGCTTGATCGGGCCGGAGGAACGGGCGGACGTGCGACACCTGGCTGTGACGCTTCGCTGGCCTGTGAGAGGAGGCAGATGGGGTGGGGTGGGATGGGGAGTGCTGTGGTTTGTCATTTCGCTTAAAAGTTGTGGTCGTGGTTGTTGTTGAGCCCATTTGCTGCCAATGTTCTTGTTTTGTGAAGTATTGTTGCCAGGCGCTTAGTGATGCCTGTGAGAGGAGGGGGATGGGTGGTGATGTATGTGTTCGTGGTTTCGGTTGATGTTGTGGTTGTGCTAGTTTGTTGCCGATCCACACATCATCTGTGGCGATCTACGGTGAACCGTGGGCTCAGGGAGGAACCCTGGCGGGAAATCCGCGACAAGCCTTGACCACGCCCCTCGTTTCGTGACACCTAGATAGCACCCGTGCAGAATGACGCTGCCGTGCGTGCAACCACGACTTTGCAGGTTTATGCGGACGTGACATCGGGGCTGAGGTGCTGGAGTGCGGAGATGGGCTTGGGCGTTGGTCGCCTCGACCAGCTACTCCAGGACGATGCTGTCAAGGAAGCCATTGCACCGGACGCTGTGTTGCAGGTAGAACGGAAACACGAGGGAGGGAAAAATTGGGGGGTGGCGTGGATGTGACCCGTCGAACAGGGTCCCTCCTCCCCAACCTTCGTCGAGGGGGGTTCATTGCCTAGCACTGCTGTGCACCACCAGTATTTCGTCAATGCATCTGGATGGCGCGCTAACCCTCGCGCAGAACTACCTCTACATGGTGGCAGTGACCCCACTACCGACTACGCCCCCCCCCCGCCCCCCCCCCGGTGGTTGCTCCCCACGGTGTTTGCCATCGGGATTGGGTTTTCGTCACTTGGCAACGACGTTGTGAACCATGCCGCCCCCCCCCCGGTGTTTGCCATCGGGGTCGGGTTTTCGTCGCTTGGCAACGACGTTGTAAAACAAGCCAATTCACTTCGTGAACCCGGCCACCAGGTTACCGGGGGTTTTTTTACCTCTGGTTTTTTTTTGCGGTAACCATAATGGTGGTCGAGTAGATCATGTTGTGCGGGGTCGAGAAACCTCACTCCGCGCAACGGGGGATGATCGCACCACGTTGTGTTAAAATGGTCAAGCATCCTCGAGGCAGTTACACAGTGCTTACAACTGTCTCTGGAAGTGAAAGCACCAGAAAATAAATTAAGTCATACGTAGCTGTCATCCGTACGCAAGGAAGTAAGCACACGATGCCGAACACCCTTAGCAGGATGCAGCTCACCCTTCATGCGACTCGCCAAATACCTCACGGCGCTTCGCGCTTGGTGATGTGAGAGCCTGGTCCGGTGAGAACCCGGCGTGCTCCGTCCCGGCTTTGTAGGGATGCGAGGTCAAATGGTCTAACGACTACGGCATGCACGACTATGAGTACACCCCCCCCCCCCCCCCCCCTGCGCTAGAGGAGGCAAGGCTACGTAAAAGTTTGAGATACTGCTGCGATATGCATTTTTTTTTTTCTTTCTGTGCTGGCATGGCGGTGCGATACTTGCAACGTTTGTGGGTAGGTTTACACATGTGGACCGACGATTGCCGCGCTCGCTCCCTCCTAAATTGAGTGTCATCTGGTGTTACGTGTTTTGTCCTGTGGATAAAAAAGGGGGGAAAAATCACTGCTGTGTTGCCTTTTTCCTGTCTGAGTGACAACCCCGATTGATATAGTATATCAAGTAATACCGAAGGGTGCAGACTGGCGGAAGAATACATCAGACCAAAAGCATACACACATCAGTGAGACGCACATTGATCTTATCGAGCAGCCTGGTCAACTTATTATGTTTTTTCGATTTTTCTTCATTGTGGCATCCCCACGGACGGTGGGGGTCATCAACATTACCTACGGCTACATTGCGGCTCCTTCAGGAAGTGTGCATTGCCATGATCCGGTCGCCGCTCTGGCGTCGTGGTCGTTTCAGTGCGTGGTGTGCGGCGAAAAAGAACGAACACCCCCCCCTTTCCCCGAATCTTTCTTTCGTTCGAAAGCCCGACGAGAGCTCGTGATTCCTGAGCCGTTTCTTCTGACGTGTAGCATAGCATACGTTTGCCTCAATTTTTCTCCTCGCCTTTTGCTCGCTTTTTCTTGGCGGGCGCCCTTCGTCATCGTCATCACAGGTGGGATCGCCGCTGACATCGAAGCGCGTCCAGAAGTTCATCTCCGAGCCTGCCGCCACCCTCACCGCACCCGTGAGCGTCATCTGCAGCCCTCTCGTCGCTTGGCACGACCCCGGGAGGGGGTTCACCACCAGGCTGGCGTCTTCCACGAGGGATCTCGCGGCGGCGGTAGACGCAGGTGGGAATTTGTTCGTCAAAGCCGCTGTCGTTTTCTCAAGACCCCTGTTGAGGCATGGATTAGTTCGGAAGGTTTGCTGGAGGAAGCAGTAAACTCCTTGGTGGATTGTGCTTTTATTGTTTATTGTTTTCTATGTTTTCACGACGAGCTGTGCGTGACACGTCGGACTATATATTGTTCCGAACAGACTGCATGAAAATAGAGCTGAAATATATAGGTGGAGGTATAGACAACACTTGTCAGGGTTTCCCCACCAGAGAGTGGCGTGCCCCACGAGATACTGCGGTGGCAGCACCGACACGAATCTGAACATCCACAAACGAAATCACCAGTAAAACTCTAACCTTCTCCGACAAGCAAACGTCTTGAAACGATTCCACGCAGTCTTCGGGCCAAGTGTCTGGACTACCAGCCTGGCACTTCCCAACCGACGAGGCGATGGAAAGGCCCATTCCCCCCTCGCCCCCGTCATCCTTGTAAATCGTAGCTTGGGCGGGCGAAACCCGGCCTATCGCTCCCGTCCCGGCACGGTAAGGATGCGAGGGCAATGAGCTAACGACTACGGCATGGGTTTACATGAGTACACCCCCCTCCTCCTCCTCCTCGTTCACTTCGACCTGCCGTTTTGGCAGCCCCATCCTAAGGCCAAACCTGGTACGTGCTGGTACTTACTTTATGTGAGAAACATTTCTTCCTTGTTTATCCTCATGCCTCACTTTCCAGTCCCTCCCTCCCTCGCTTCGGCCCCCACCCTTTTCTGGAAAACGCAGGAGTATCCTCCTCGGGCGTCGCGATCGGCGGGAGCGAGCTGCTTGCCCTGGTGGACGTGTCCAACGCGGTAGAGAGGGCGCAGACCAGAGCGATAGCCTGCGCGGCCGCCGGTCCTATCGAAGATGAGGCAGGGTCGTCTTCGCTGTCACGACAACCGTCATCGCCGCCGCGTGTTGCGAAGGGCGTGGCTGCAGGCGGAGGAGAGGGCTCCGAAGGCGGTGACTGCTACGATGGTGTCAACGACACCAGCGAGGGAGGAAGGAGACCGCCGGCACAACAGCACCAGCAGCACCAGCAGCACCAGCGACAACAGCGGCAGCAACAGCCGCAACCCCTGACGGAGCCCTTCGTGGCCTGGTGCGTGTCCCGCCACATCGACCCCGCCGCGGGGCTGTTCCTGTCGGCGAGCATGCCGTGCCGAGACGTCGAAGTTTTCGCGGACAGCGGGCTGGGCGACCTCGATGGCAGGGGGGAGGAGGACAGGGGAAGCGGAGGCAGGAGGCTGAGCGACGTGGCGTCCAACCGCGGCGCTAGCGGGATCGACGGAGTGTTCAGCTCAGCGATGGGGTGCGTGCCTTGTGTGCGAAACACGTGCAGGCCGATGGCCTTGCCCAGTTTTTGGCATGTGTTGTTACTCAGGCTCCTCGAGCGTTAGTTGGGTGTTATCGGGCTCCTCAAGCGTTTGTTTTGGAGGCCCCTCGAGCCTACATGTATGTTGCGTGTTCTCAGGCTCCTCGAGCACTTGTTGTGTGTTCTCGGGCTCCCCAAGCACGTGCTGTGTGTTCTCTCGGGCTCCTCAAGCAATTGTTGTGATGTATGTTCTCAGGCTCCCCAAGCATGTGCTGTGTGTTCTCAGAGGCTCCTCAACCGTTTGTTGTTGTGTTCTCAGGCCCTTCAAGCAGTTGTTTTGCTTTTCCTTGCATATACGAACGACGTGACGAAGCAAAGCAATCACGCACGTGCAGGCAGGCGGCGGGAGGCGCGTCAGATTGACGGCTGGGCGTGGGTGGTAGACTGTAGGGAGCCGCTAGAATACACACGGGGCGTCGGCAAAGAAGAGTAGAGGCGTCAGAAGTACGAAACAACACCCCGACGAAGTCCGCAAGGCAAGCCCCCCACAGGAAGTGTGTCTGTTTAGGTCAACGGCGAAAGATGCAGAAAAATCGCCTGGGTGGTGCATGGCGCGCACACCTGTCCAACCTCCATCACTTCCTCTCTCATCTTCGAGGGCATGTCACTGGGTAGGGGCAACTGTTCCTGCGGTGCGCGTCGTGCGCACCCTTGCATGAAGCCAATGAGGAGTCACGAGCGAAAATGAGTCGCGAGCTACGCCCGGTCAACCGTGTCTGAAAAGGGGACTGTTTCTCTTCGCCCCCGCACGCAGGTACGCGGCCGGTCTGCGGTCTGCCGCGACCCTGCTGATCGGGGACATGGCGACGCTGCACGACCTTGGCTCGCTGCACGCGCTCAAGGGGCTGGACGCGGCTGGGTCTTGTTCGGTGACGATGGTCTGCGTCAACAATGGCGGTGAGTTGAAACAGAGGGTTGTTTGATGATGGTCGTGAAACAGAGGGAGGGGATTAATCAAAGCCGCAGGCAGACGCGAGTAGAGAGGGAGAGACAGCAGTTGGAGGCAAGGAGCCGTGGAAATCCAGGCGGCCGCTGACGCTTATGCTTATGCTTCACCGTTTTTCCATTCCGTTGCTTGGAAGAGGCTCGTGGTTTTAGACTCTCAGTATTTATTGGTTGGCTGGTAACAAATGAAAGATGCGAGACCATGCATGGGCGTGTTTCGATTAAAAGAGGTGGTGGTACCCGGTCCCACAGTCAGATTCCCCGAGTACAACCGGGTACCCCCCCCCCCCCCCCACGGCTATATACTCGTTTGCAAGGAAGTAAGCACAAGATGCCGAACACCCTTAGCAGGATGCAGCGCAACCTCCATGCGGCTCGCCGAATGCCTCACGGCGCTTCGTGCTTGACGATGTGAGAGCCTGGTCCGGTGAGAACCCGGCGTACTCCGTCCCGGCTTTGGTAGGGATGCGAGGTCGATGGTCTTACGACTACGGCATGCACGGCTGTGAGTACACGCACACACACACACGGCTATTCGTCTTCGACTATCGTCCCTTCCCCTACAAACATGCCCGTTTTGCTGAATATCAGGCGGAGGGATATTCTCGTTTCTGCCCATCGCAGACGCTCGGCACGGGGACGCGTTTTCGCCTCTTTTCGACACCCCCCACTCGGTCGACTTCGAGGGCGTGTGCCTCTCGATGGGGCTGGAGTACCGGAGGGCCACCACGGCGAGGGAGTTCCGGTCGGCGTACCTGGAGTCGCAAGGTGGGTGGTGGCGGTGGACGCAAGTGCGGTGTTGCTTCCAGCGGAGCAGGAGAGAGAAAGAGAGAGACACCGCTTGGCGCCCTTTGTGTGGCACGCGCATACGTGCTTGCCCTTACCCTCCCCGGGTTGGTCTCGGTTCGCTGTATGGCCCTTCAACGTGCGTAGTAGCCTCCTGGCCCTTCGACGTGCTGACCCTTACCCTCGTGGGACGTTCTTGCTTCGCTGCTTAGTCCTTTTCTTTGCCGCGTACGAGTTGGTCCAACGTAGCACGAACCTGTAGCGATTTCCTCAGACGCTAGCATTACAACACCATTCCATGGTAACACCACACCATGGTACGTACCGTGTTCGGCGAGTGAGGCGAACGAGGAAGAGAGAGAGTCTGGCCGACCGACTTGGTGTGAGGCACAGTCTTGGCCCCGCTGTAGGTCGGGTGTGCCGGGAGAAGGCGGGTGACAATCTCTTGGTGCGGATGGATTACCGTATATGACACAAGATAACACACCCCCTTGACCGATTTTCAAAGCTCGATTTCTCAACAGCAGGAAGAGTCACAGCGCCGAAAACGGCGGCGTTGGAACCGTCTCGTCGAGAGCTGTTCGAAAACGTATTGTTTCATTTATGCATCCTCTTCGTCGTGGAGTAATCGAGCTTTGAAAATCGGTCCAGGGGGTGTGTTATCTTGTGTCATATACGGTAATCAAGTCCTTTTCTAACCTTGAATGATGCGGGTGCCCGCCATAAGGGCCGCGTCCAACGGCCTAGGGCATACCCTCCCTATACACAAGTGATCCTTCCGGAGTGGGCTCACAAAAGCACAGGCCAGTGTCATGAAGGGATGATGCACGATTGATATATAAAATAAGGAAGAATCAGGTCCAACCCACAGCTGGTTGCCAGCTGCAGGTGTGACGTTCCCCAAAGGTCCAACAGCTCACAGAGCTGACGTGCTTTCGATTCGAAGAGCCCAGTGAGAAAGAACCTGAACGAACCAGCGAGACAAGTTTCGCGAACTGGTAGACTTCCGTCCTGTCAAGGGACCACGATCGTATCTGGTTGTGGACGTCGCCACCAATCCGACCACGACCCGAAACAACGCCACCCCCTTCCTCCCTCGCCGATCCGTGGTGTTGACTGATTGCCTCTCTCTTCCGCTTTTCAGCAGGCGTGCTCGGAGGTGGGGGCGGGGAGGGGGCGGGCACAAGACGACGACGACGACACTTTTTCATCGAGGCCGTCACCTGTCGGGAGGAAAACCTTCCCGTCCACAGGTGCGTTTCGACAGTGGTGCTGGTGGTGGTGTGCGCTGGTAGTGCTAGTGCCCGTGGTAGGGTAGAATTTACTTCGAGCTTAAACAATGGAACATTCTAAGTGTCACGCTTCTGTAAGGGCGGAACGATTAGGATGGTCATCTTCTTTGAGACCACACAGTAAAAAAACGAGGGAAGAGGGAAGAGCACCGCACAAGTACGGCCGACTACAGTTGTGTCATACCCCTCGGGGCAATAACGCCACCTCCGTTTGTAATAACCCGCCCTCTACCTAGTCGAGGCCAAACCCCGAGGTATGTCGTGCGGGAAAAGAGATCCTACCGTGTAGGAACGGCCGGGCTTACCCTTCCCGACACCCCGGTTTTGCAGGTCCCTTGGCGGGATCGGTAGGGCGGCAGCGTTGGACCACCTCTTGAGGGGCGTCAGGCTGGGGTGGGAGTTTACCCCGGCCCCCGTTGCCCGAACGTGGCCTCCGTCTCCCGCGGGGGTTTCCAACGGCTCTTTAGGGCGGGGACGAGGGGGGGGGGACAAGAAGAAGCCCACACTGCTCCTTCTGCACGGCTTCATGGGTAGCAAGGTGAAGGGGCGGGGGGGGTAGTCCGGTGTTTGGCTATGGGCTTTGCATTGGTACTTGCCGCAGAATTTTGAGGTTCCTTCTAATGGCGAATGGCGGGTGGTGATTTGAATGGAAAGCGGTTCTTCGTACAATGCCCGCGCTATAGCGAGCAGCACGGTGCATTTTTTCGTACGCAAGAGAATCATGCACGGTTGTGTGTCCAAGCGGGAAAGTTTGTTCGATTGTCCGAGCACAGAGGATGACTTTGAGGATTACATTTGGCCCTCCATGGATGTATGCCGTGCATGTGTGTGCGTGTGAGTATTTTGTCCCATTTATTCTGGCGCCAGTCTACTCTACACACCTCGCGGCGGGTTTGTGTGTGTTTGACGTATCAGCCGGGATCAATCACACAGGCAGAAGGTCACCACGCAGGGTCTTTTTTTTATTTTCCCCGCCGGTCGCCCCGGTGGTCTAGTTGATATCCTCGAAACCTTCTAGAGGTCAGGTCAGGGGTTCGAATCCCGGCGTAAGCGAGCTTTTCTTGCAAAGTGAGTTTTTCTCTCGCTTTCGCTCCTGGCCTAGTGGATAGCGCTAGTTCGTGTGTACACAGAGGGAAGAGAGTGCTGAACTCTTCTCGCGTTAACAATGGAAGGCAAAGTACCGCAGAAGGGGAGGGTAGAGAGGGGCTCTTCTGTGTGACCACGGGTTGGAGTAAAACGGCACTAGTGCTGTGAGCGCGGATTTGAAGTGAAGACAAAAAAAAAAAAAATCTCCTGCGGCACTCACTTGCCGTGGTTCTTTTCGCGAAAAAGGTTGGTCGTGTGTGTGCCTGGCGTTCGTTAGTTGTCATTGTTGTCGCTAATGCCACCAACCCTCCTCGTGGCCCTATTGTACCTGCCGTTTTCTTACGGCGGCCGGGCGCAGGAAGACTGGAGGGGCGACTTCGCCGAGCTCGCCGCTGCGGAAGGCCACGCCGTCCTCAACGTGGAACTCCCTGGACACGGGGGGGGTAGCGGGGGCGGCAGCAACTCCGACGGCAAGAGCACCACTGCTGCCGCTGGTGGCGGTCAGAGGGGCGACGATGTACTGCGGACTGTCGGTGGCGAGTGTGACGGGGGTATCGTGGAGGAGGGAGGGGGGGGGGGAGGGTTTCCAGGGGTACCGAACGGCGATGTAGCCACCGACGACAACCCGCGAGGAGGAGGAGGAACAGAACGTTCCGGGGAACGGTCTGGTGTGTCGGGGGCAGCGGCGACCACGACGGCACAGAACGGCGGCGGCGGAAATCTCGTCGGTTCGGCACCAGCGCAACGAGACGAGCAGCCGCGGGGAAGCAGCAGTTGCGCGGCTGGCTGGGATAACGAGTCCAACGACGATGGTGTTGTTCCCTCGTGGGGCTTGGGAGGCGTTTTCCTGGCCGCGGAGGCGGTGGGCGCCGTTTGCGATGCGGTGGGGGCCGGGCCGTACGTGATGGTGGGGTACTCGATGGGCGGGAGGGTGGCGCTAGCCTTGGCAGCGAGACGACCGCGGGTGATGGAGGGAGGGGGGGGGCTGGTGCTGGTGTCGTCGAGCCCGGGCCTGGCAAGGTAGCAAGCAATCAGAGAGACGCCACCGGGAAGGATTGGGGGGGGTTTAGGGTTTCGTGTTGGAGGGGTCCCCGTCTGAGATATTGTAGCGGAACGTCTGGGGGTTAACGGTGATGTTTCTGACATGCTTGCAGAACTCGTGGTGTTTTCATCTCACTGGAAGAGAACGGTCGGGGTGCTTGCTCCCAAGTGGCCGCTAGACATTAAGCCTTGCTCGAGATGTCATGTCATGGTGCGCTGACCGTGACCCGTCGGTGTAACATTTCAAGTTCCTTCTGACCTGGACAACACCGCTCCCTCCCTGCCCGCGGGTACTTGCGCATCGAATTTATTGCCACGCCGTACGTACGCGACAACACAGCAGTAGCGCGGCCAGGCTGTCGAGGTGGGCCTGCGACCGCGCCCTGGCGTCTCGGATCGCTGCTCTTGGCCGCCGGCCGACAGCGTCAAGCGTAGCCGGCGTCAACGTCAGGGAGAGGTACGATAGGTTTTACTTACATGATACGTACCAGCAGGGCGAGGTACTGTATGCGTGTGTGATACGGTACGTCCCGATGTTGTACCAACCCCTGTCTGTGTTCAAAGGCTTCCTCGAGGAGACCGAGCATTTGTTGCAGTGGCGTGCGGCGTGACTCGTGACGTTTGACCATGTAACGACCACCGCGGGAATTTTGAGAGTGAAACGAGCTATTGCAGCTGCCTTGAGCAAACGAGGTGCTTGAGTGACTCTCTAGGGCGTGCGAGGTCGTTCCTTCGATGAACGGAAGAGGGTAAAGAAGGAAAGCTTGACCGAGAAGAAAGGTCGGGGGTACATTTGTCGGGTTGTTCTTTGTTATTTGTTGCTGCTGGTGTTGTTGTTGTTGTTGATGCCGTTGTCGTTGGCTCTACATCAAACATCGTTCCGATCTCTGCCCAGTTGCTTGGAATGTCCAAACTGGTCCACCTGCCGCGGACGCCTCACGTGGAAACACTGGCTAAATGCACCCAAAGAGGGGAGAACGTACGTGAAAAATTACAAGGGAAGAATGAAAGAGGATTGGTGCGTGCCGAAGTCAGGTATCATAAGGCACGTCCGTATTTCGGTTTGCTGTCTGTTTGTTTGTCCACCCCCCCTCCCCCCCCCCGTCATCCAGACCAGCAGAAGAAGAGGCACGGGCGTTCTTGGATCGCTGGTACGCTGCGCCGCTGTGGGGGGACGTGCGACACCGACGCCCGTCGGCGTACTCGGCGATGATAGACCGTCGCTTGAGCAACCTGGGCTTCGACCCTAGCCACCGTGGCCGCGACGATAAGCCTGGTGCACCTCGGGAGGTGATCAAAAGCGACAGCCACGGCGGCAAGAAGGCCATCTTGAACAACAGCAGCACCGGCCTGCGGCGGGATTCCGGGCTGGGTAACGGGCGTGGGGAAGGAAACAGCAGCGAGGCCGGACTTCGAACCTGCAGCGGCAGAGGTTTGCGCTCGGAAAGTGGCGATCGTGACGGGAAGAAGGATCGAGAGGGAATATGCTTGGTTCCGACGGGCCGGGACGGAGGCGCCGGCGGCAGCCGGAGCCTGAAAGCTAGGGAACTCGCACGGAGCTGTCTCGCCCTCAGCGTTGCCCGTCAGGCCAACCTCTGGCCCCTGCTGCGCCAGCTCTCTGACAAAAAGAACACCGACAAGATGGGGGGAGGGGGAGGTGCCGGCGACAAAAACTCGGTGCTGCCCGTGGTGTACGTGGCCGGAGAGCTGGACCCCCGGTACGGCGGCCGCTGTGGCGCTGTCGGCGGTAGCGGTACCAGCGGTGGTGGTGGTGGCGTTCACGGTGAACCGCAGGTGGGATCGGCAAACGCAGCCAACGGAACCACACCACCACCGTCGTTCCCCTCGGAACAAGGGGGGGCGGCTGGCGGCGGCGGGTGTGGAGCGGACATCTCGGGCGTGGTTAAGGGTACCAGCGTTACCGAGGTCGGGCGGGTGGCTGGGGCGGGGGCCGGCTGTGCGGCGCTTGCATCTGCTGCCGTCGTGCCGGGCGCGAGAACCGTGGCTCAAGCCGTGGAGGAGGCGTGTCCAGGAGTGCGCGTCGCCGTTGTCGCCGGCGCCGGGCACGCGGTGCCGACGGAGGCTCCCGCCGCTTTGTTCCGGGAGGTCGCAAAGCTGTCCGCCGTGGCCGCCGCGTCTGCTGGCGGTGGTGGTGATGGTGGCGCTGCTGCTTCTGCTTCTGCTTCTGCTTCTGCTTCTGCTGCTGACTCTGGAACAGCGGCGGGGGTTGGAGAGGAGGAGAGAGTCGCCAGAATAACCCGATTCTCGCTGGAAGAGTTCTCCATCCCCATGACGTCCCCGCTCCAGCTCAGCCTCTGCAAGCTGACAGAGCGGCGAGGAGTTCTTGTTCGGCTGGAGGCGTTGCTCCCGCAGTCGCCGGAGACGGGAGTTGGACGAGAGCAGGAGGAAGGGCGGCGTGTTTGGGGCGTGGGCGAGGTTACACCGCTTCCGGGTGAGCCTTTAACAAGCCGCGATATCGTCAGCTTTTATTCACAGTCAGAAGTTACTCCCCGGTCTTTCGAACCAAGAGTTGTCCGACATGTTGTCCTTAGGAAAACATTTTTGAGCCACCTTTGGCGAAGTAGGAAGGGAAGATTGGCCTTCGGTGATCGGTCATGTGGGAACGCCATGCTCCGTCCTCTCGAGGACACCTGGTCAATGGTCTTAAGAGCTGCGCAAAAACATGAGTACGCCCGCCCCCCCCCCCCCCCCCCCGGGCAGGGCTCCCCGAGGAAACCCCTGAAAAGGGAACCGGG